ACTGTAGCAAGACAGGAAAATTTTATGTTGAAAAATATAGTCACTTCATCAAGTACAGTACCCAATATATGTGCATATACATATGTTAAATAAATGAATTATTAAAAAGAGGACACCCGTGCTCATTTTATTTCATCACTATACATCCTGAACATACTAAAGCTGTGATGAAGTTCAAATAATCAGCCTGTTAGGCTCCCAGCTTACCTGCGATGCGCGATTGTAGCAGAGCGAGATGTCGAGCGTGTGGGTCAAGGGCGGCTCCGTCTCGTAATTGTAGATGTTGTAGATTGAGTGCGGGAGTCCGGCCAACTGCGCTCATGGAGGAAAAAGAGGTCACGCAAAAAGAAAAGATACAAGGGCACATTCAGGGTATACTCTGGTTGAGACATATTCGTCAGGGAGTATCTATAAAGTGGGGGCGTTATTGATTACGGAGATCAGCTAATCCATCTCGCATTCCAACTAAACATACGGATGAAATCATACAATGGACAGGTATTTCTCGAAGCGGAGAGGGCTGTTGTCCATGGACACGATTTCTGGGGGGGTGTCTTTGAATTCTTCCGGCAGAGGCGGCATCCTCACGCCCATGCTCGGTTCTCGCCTCGTGTGCAGGCGGGCGGCACCTCGTGTGGGCTGCCCGTTCTTCGCTCTCAAACTCTCACTCTCGTCCAGCATGAAAGGCTGAAAGGAGTACATTTTACTTTATCTATGTTTCTAGATAATTTGCCACACACACACACACACAGGCGCGCGCGTGCGCACATATATCGTTTTACTTTATCCATGTTTCTGGATAATTTGCCACACGCACAGACACACACACACACAGCGCGCGCGCGCACACATATATCGTTTTACTTTATCCATGTTTCTTGATACTTTGCCACACACACACACATACTCACTCCCTCACTCACTCACACACTCACACACTCACTCACTCACTCACTCACTCACTCACTCACTCACACACACACACACACACGTACACACACACACACGCGCGTACACACACACACACACACGTACACACACATACACACGCACACACACACACATACACACACACGCTCACACACACACACACACACACACACATATATATATACGCTCACACACACACACACACACACACACACACACACACACACACACACACACACACACACACACACACACACACGCGCACACACACACACACACACACACATACTCACACATGCTCACACACACACACACACACATATATATATACATATATATGTGTATATGTGTATATTATCATATATACTTAATCATATATACATATATATATATATATATATATATATATATATATATATATATATATATATATATATATATATATATGACTGCCGCGATAGCTCAGTGGTTAGAGCACTGGACTCGTGGTCCCGGGTTCAATTCCCCGTCGAGGGAGTCGTAAAAATGCCTGCGCTCTGACTGCTCGCGTGGGCCCGAGAAAACGATATATCGGCATGAGAAGTCAAAACGTAGGTATCGTAGGGGAAGTCACCGCCGTGGCACAAGTGTTAACGCGCCGAACCGCGGTTGATTAGGAAGGGCATTCAATCAGGCAAGGGTGATACTGCCATATAACCTCTCAATACTGAATTGAGAGAGGCCTATGTCCTGCAGTGGAATGAATGGCTGTTAAAAAAAAGATATATATATGTATATATCTATCTATCTATCTATCTATCTATGCATGTACACAATAATATATTGTATATATATACATATATATACAATATATATATATATATATATATATATATATATATATATATATATATATATATATATATATATATATATACATATATATTTACATATATATGTCCATATCTATATCTATATCTATATATATATATATCAATCTAGCTAGTTATCTATCTATATATATATATATATATATATTTTTTTTTTTAACAGCCATTCAATCCACTGCAGGACATAGGCCTCTCTCAATTCGCTATTGAGAGGTTATATGGCAGTGTCACCCTAGCCTGATTGGATGCCCTTCCTAATCAACCGCGTTTCGGCAGCGGCGGTGACTTACACAATACATGACACCTGCGTTTGTCTTCTCAAGGCGATATGTCGTTTTCTCGGGCTCGAGCGAGCAGTCAGAGCGCAGGCATTTTTATGACCGCCGCGATAGGGAACTGAACTCGGGACCACGAGGGTTGGAGTCCAGTGCTCTAACCACTGGGCTATCGCGGCAGTCATATATATATATATATATATATATATATATATATATATATATATATATATATATATATATATATATATATTATATATATATATGTATATATATATATATATATATATATATATATATATATATATATATATATATATATATATATATATATATAAATTATATTTATGTGTATGTATATATATATCTTTCTATATATATGTGTCTATATATATATACATACACATATATACATATATATGTATA